CTTATCTCTTTGTGGCCTCTTTCACTATCATCACATGTTGTGTCATAAAACTGTTGTGACCTGTGGGTCATATGACTTCTTTCACAACCCAACACCTATTTTCTTTGTCACTAAAACCAAATAAATTTGTTTTTACGTTGCTTTTTTTTGTTTGGATAAATGATAAAGTACATGAATGTATGTAAATACTCATTGCCTGACATTATAATCAAAGACATTATCCGATCATCTATTACTCGATTGCTTTTTATATTTTTATATGGTATAGACACCCATTATATCAACTTGGTATTCGGATAGTAACAAGTCGACAGAACAAATCTGATGGCAGCATGGTAGCAACATCAACATGACTAATTAGGTTAAAACTTTCGTATTTTTTGTATCTTTATAAAAAAATCAATAATATATGTTAACGTTATACAAATTTGAATTTGGATAGTGACTTAAAAACAACATTAGCACAGAAACTAAACTATATATATCATATATATAACTATTTCCATCTTATTATTTTGTTATCCATTTAACAATAAGAAATAAATGATGATCAATAGAAAGCTGGACACAATTTATCTTCACATCATTATACGGCTGGACAAGCTGCCCATCCGATCAAATATCTGCTAGCTCTTGGGCCTTTTAGGTGCGGAAATAATTAAGACAAATTCTATTCATACAATATTTACTTATGTATATATGCCATTTTATTACATAACAGTATTATTAATTAGTGCATTCTATATTAGCGCCTTTAAGCTAAGGATCGGAGAAGTGAATAGACAAATAGTGATTGCTGAGTTTGTGATGAGCTGTTATCGAGTGGATGAGATACTGATAGCCTCCAATATACATCATGTAGAGTTTTTTAATCTGAAAAGTCTATTTTAATAAGAGACCGTTTTGAAATCAACCAAAGTATTGAAAGTTTTCGGAATAAAATGAAATAAATTAGGTCTTGATTTGACTTGAGCATCTAAATTCTTTTGGAACGACAGTTTCTACATATAAAGATTATGGCTAATGAAAATGACTACGGATCTTCTTTTAGTTGAAGTTTCAAGTTAAAACAGCCACTAGATGACCCAAAGATCATACTGCGGTATTACGAAATCATCCATCTTTAGAGCTCGATCAATAGCACAAAAGCCGTCGCTTAGAATCTCACATGTTTAAACGTCAAAATTTGAAGAAAAAAAAAATTCTCATAGAAACGATTTTTAAATTTTTTAAACTTCACGTGGAACATTCGAAAACTTTGGAATGTAATTGTCCATCTTAAACATATACTTAAGATCCATGCAGAAACTTCGGCCAAGTTGAAGACGAGCATTCGTACGCATTGTTTCGCATATTCCTTAATGGACGAATCATAACATCGAAGAAGCATCTAAAATTCTCCGAGATCAAATGATCAATGATCATGTACTAAAAAAGAGTTAATTAGTTGGATGCTTTCTGATGAGGAAAAGATATTCCTTAACTCATTTTGATTCAATTCTCTCTAAACAACTTGGAAGAGAAGATTTTTAAGCAAAGTCACACAACTCAAGATAGAAAAAGACAAAGCAAAAGATAGACCCACAAATGACGTATACATGAGAAGAAAAACAAAATAATTGGCGCATCTTAATGAA